CACCACCTATGAGAGAGCTGTAGAGTGGCAGATTGGGCATCCTTTTACAAAGCCACAGTGTTCAAATAGAGTACCCCTAAAATGGACAGCTGCCAGAATGCCATTTCTGTAATTCTGACCAAAGGAAGGTGAGTAAAGGCGATGGTCCCCACAGCTCACCAAACCTACCCTCTGTGAGTTTGGAAGTCGATGATCAATAGAATTACTGGCATCCTGCAAAACTTTGGAAGTGGTGCCGGTTTTGTACTTTTTGCCTTTTAGTCGATTTACAAAATGCAGTTTTGCTGAAGGTTTGGCAAGCAGTGGTTTCTGTTTAGCAAGAATCTCACTGTTCCAGTTCTGAACCTAAGAAAACAAGAGTCAGGAAATGAAGCCTTCTGATTTTAATTACCTAGACTGTTACCTCTTATCTGCTGCTGCTTTTCCTCCCTGAAATGAAGCAGTTGCACATAATTTAGTTTATCCAAGCAGAACGACATGAAAACTTAGATTTTGGTTCTTATTACTTGACCTCTGACTAGTGAGCTTTCGTTAGCTGAAGCAGGTTAGTATTGTTACTGGTGAGTCTTACAACTGATCTGTACTGTGATACCCAATGGATTAAAATGTGGTCAAAGGTTAATTAAACACTGCAAATTTTTCCTTGCTGACTGTGGTGCAGGAAATGTAGCTAATGGAAATGCTAACATGCAGATACAGGTGGCATTTCCCACCTGGCATTCTTAGAATTGGAAAGAGGAAAAAAAATTAAAAATCCATAATTTTACAAAGTGTTAGAGCAACACAACCCCTTACACAAACCCAGATATTCAACCAGCCTTCAGTGAGGTCCTTGATATGCACAAAATGCCTAGTAATGATTGAAAAGAGGGAGAACACAAGCACAAGAACAAAGAGGAATAACCATCTTGTTTCACTGCAGAAACAAGAGAGCTTTACTGACCTGACAGATTTTTGCTAAATTCTCTTCTAAAATAAGCAGAATTATCCACTAAATTGACAGCTTTATCTACAACTGACCCTTAGAATAACTCAATAAAACCCCCATTTTTTTCTCTTGATTCAACATCAGAAATTATTAGCACAGTCACAAATCTTGCAGCCACTCTGCCTAACCAAAAGCATTGCCTTCTAAAGGCTTATTTAAAATCAGCACATGGATTCCAGTGCCAAGCAGATGGCATCCTGTACAACCACAATGCCAGTGTCATACACTGCTCTGTATATCAAAGACTTCTACAGAATTAATTTTCAGAATCTACTCAATGAGTATCTTGAAAAAGGCCCTTTATAAGAGCTAATCTGCAATACTAGGTTAATACTTTATTGCAAAAATCCACGTGAAACGTTTTAATAGATTAAGGACACAGGCTGTGTACCTTAAAAGAGCTCACAGATAAACAGCGGCCAAAAGCTTAGAGGTCCTTGCTGAGGACTCAGCCTGGGCTAAACACAGAACCTTTTAAAACTGCTACACAAAGAGGCTCTTAAGTATCAGTGCTGACCTCAGCTGTACATTGAGATTTAATTTTCTATTTGATGAACACCAGAGCAGTCTTTGCATCTCTTAGAAGAGATGGGAAGAGCTATTTCAGGCTGGCACTGGAGTCATTTATGGAGAACTGCCAGCCTACCATTTGAAGGCAGACAGAATTTGAAGGAAATCTCTCAAAGACTGACAAAAGGATTTTAATCAGGAACTGCAAGCTCTTGAGCTTGGGGGGAAAGTCAGTTTACTGATCTGTGACTCTGTTTCAGCGTTTCTGAAATAGCATCCCTTCTCACAATGGATGTTAAAACTCCTAATGGTTTGCAAGTTGGTTGAAAAATACAACAGGTATTTGAAGTGCCTATCACTGTAATCCAAATTAAAAATGTTCAGAAGAGGTGAGCTAAAGCTTAGGAATTTTACTGTGAATCACTTGCATGCTGCAACCTCAAGGCACCTTTAAAGTTAGTGTGCTTTGATGCACCACTGCAGGACCTCATTCATTCTTCCTGTGAAGGGAATAAAGCTAGCTCTCCACAAGCCCTTCCAACCAACATATGCAAGATTCTGACTGTTGCCCACATGGCAAAAGTATTAGTTGTTAGAATTGTTAGACCTGCTTTTACGTAACTTTTAGTATCAGCTAAATTAAAAAGGATATGGCAAATAACATTCTGCTAACTTCTTTCAAAGTTGTTAAGTACAAAACTTCTGACTATTGATAACTGCTGAAGTCACTGCAATCTCACCACCAGCATAGAAAGAAGGAAAGTGCCAACCTTTTCTGGAGTTAATTTCATAAGTTCCATGTTCTCCATACTGTGACGGCGTCCTACTCTTGGTCTGGTACCTTTGAGAAAGAATCAAGTTCATCTTTGTATCATTAAGATTTCTACTGTCACCTTCAAAGCTGTGGCTGTACTTATCTATGGTGCAAGATACAGCAATTCTGAGTTCCAAAACAGGGCAGGTAAATATATCACTAGGGAATAAATAACCACTAGTAAAAGCAGCCTTCAGGACTACACTGATCTAAGCTACCTAAGTTGCTTTAATAGGACACAAGAGAAGAAGCATGGGTCTTTGAACAGAATTCAGTTCTACTGTAACCCCCATACTGCTAAGATGGTAGGAAGAAAAAAAAGATTTTGGCACCAAATAGATGTATCTCCCACATTAAAAATTATTATTTCTAATTGTGTCTGTGCATCCCCTTTTCTTTAATGTAAGGAAACTAAGCAGTAAGATGTGATTCACAATGTAAATCCTCCAAAAAAGGAGGAGCTAAAGGGGTCCAATAATGCAAAACCAGCTTTTTTGGGGGGGGAGGAGGAGATGGGGAATGAACCCAAAACCTGCTCAACTCAACCATCTGTAGTCAGAAAACAACACAAACAACATATTCTAAGGTCACTGTTAGAAAGTATTGCAGAAATAGGCATATATTTACCGTTCAAACTGGTATCTACCGCGTGGCTTTCTGCCATCATGGAGTTGTTTGTGCTGTAGCTTAATCCAAGAACCATTTGAAGATCTGAGAGATTAAGTCTAGCAGTGAGTTCTCCACTTTTATCTCCTACCTGCAAGCAAACAAAATAAGTAGTTCTATTATTGTAATGAAATAAACACACATGTAAATAGAAAGCAAATCTTGTCCCCTAGAGTTCTGAGATAAAAAAGCTGAAAAGGTTTTCCTGGTTGAAAAACTGAGTCAACCTTTTAATGAAATATATGACAACTAAAAGGTACATAATGAAACATAAAACACCTCTGCTAGGCTATTAGCTTGGATTCCATCATGACACTATCAAATGTGGCTCCAGAACTAAGAGCTACCTGCAGTGAAATATGGCAGAAATAATTTAGGATCAACTATCTCAGAAATCAGTCAAAATCCATTCCATTATTCCAAGTCACATGCATGAACACAGCTCCATAAAACCACTGTGTGAGAGCAAAGCTGCCAACGTATGGGGAGTGTGAAACTCATACCTCTCGTGAGATCTCCAAGTGCCTTTCTGCAAAATGCATAGCTTGGTCATGATTTCCCAGCGCAGTGTAAGCATTCCCTAAACTCCAACATGCTCTTCCCTCACCAATTCTGCAGAAAAAAATAAACACATTTTCAATTATACCTTTACTCCCTGAACACTAGGGGTCAGGTTTTCATAATACTGCCACGATGAGACTGCTGTGCCAGGAAAAATGAAGGCTATCATCAGAAACTTCAAACACCAACACGTTTTAAAGGAATGTCATCTGGCTATAACCATAAATACGAGCAAGTCTAATAAAACACTAATTTTTAAGCTCTCAGCAAATATCATTCATTCAGTTTTGCAAGCATGAAGCACTTTACAACGTACTTTGCTTTTCCTTAGATTGCATGCTTTATTATCCTTCACATTGTGTTTACTGAGTTAGAGGTACTGTTAAAGGTAAAAAAAAATTTTAGTTGCACCCAACATCACAAAAAAGGCCTTAGAAATCATGATTATAAAATAAGCATTAGTTGCTACTGTATTATTCTCCTTTCCTCATCCCTTCCCATAGTTTTAATTTGTGGAGAAGCAGGAGACATATTCTTGTGAAGGTATGCAAAATTATTATAATGAAGTCATGAAAAAGAGAGAGCTGCTTTTCTTCTCCTTAATTTACAAAAGAAGATGCTGACAGAAGATGATGTGGAGTCAGTCATTCATCACTTCATCTTTCATCTCAGACTCATTAGCTGCAGTACCTTCATAAGTACTTTTTTTTTCCCCACATGAAAACTGGAGCCGAGCATTGCAGGGAATACACATTACTTCAGCTGTCATTCACAGAACAGTGACAGCAGAGTTAAGAGCTAACAGGATTTGGTATGTCATACACACATTAAACAATCTCTTAGGGCTTACTTGTCATTTAACTCCTGAGCAATCACAAGGTGTTTCAAATGATAATCAATTGCTTTTTCATAGTCCTGAAGCAAAGTGTACGTGTTCCCAAGGCTGTAGCAGGCCTGTGCTTCCACAGCTCTGTCTTGAAGCTGTCGAGCCAGCTGGAGCGTCCTCCTGAAAGAAAGGGTTAGTCATTTCAAAAATCACTGCAAGGAGGAGATTTTAGAAGTACACTTGTGCAACTAAAAAAAATCAATTGTACAAATCAAAGAAATTAGGACACCTGGCTGGCAAATGGGCTGCTAATCTATTACTATCATGTTAACTCTTACAAGATTTTCTCTGTCTTCCACTCCACAGCAACCTATTTCCATTTGCTTTATTACAGCAGACCGATCCCTTAAACAGCATCTTCTAATTTTAATTTATTGCTTCATCTATAGTGGTTTTCCTGACAGCATGCACTTGCAACAGGTTGGTACATTGTATATTCTCCATCAACAAGAGCAAGCAGACCTGTAACTGCCAAGCCAGCCTGATACTGGTGGGCAAGAAGAATGTGAGTGCTAGGAAGAATGTGCTCAGTACTGAAGCTTCTTCCCTTTCAAAAAGAACAGGTAGGCTTTCTGAAATCTACGTAAGATACCAATAACATCTAGCCTGTATCTTTGTCAAGCTTCTATTTTCCCAAGTTACAGTAGCCACAGCTTAGTGGTTCAGAGATCAAGAAAACAGTCTTGATTAAAAAAACAGACTAGGTATGTAAAATCATGCTGATGTGCACCACCTATCTCAGCTAATGTGTATATGCCAGATAGCTCCTCATCTCAGGTATACTGAAGTTACATCATTCCAGAACTTGCTAACAGCTGAGACAGTAATGCTTGATTCTAGAATAAAGGGAATAGATGCCTATCAACAGAAAGGTGTCTATCTACAGCGCTGAGAAGAATCTATTTAAAGTAACAAAAAAAAGTGAAAAATTTAAAAAAAGTTAATGCTGCCCCTCCCCTAGAAGAACCGTAAGAATTAAACAACTAGGGAAAACCATTATTTTTTGGTAAAAAATGAAGAATAAAAATAAAAAAGCAGCTCTTCTCTAAGGATATGCTGGAGAGAAGGCCACTTGACAGTGAGCTTAAGTACCAGGTACAACAGAAGTAAACTGCACAAGAAGATGTATAAATTCTATTTATAAGCAGTCAACTAACTTGTAGTATTCCGAAGCGGTTTCAAATTCACCCAGGAAGATGTAGGCGTTTCCAAGATTGCTGTATGCTCTTCTTTCTGCTGATCTATCACCAAACTCTTTTGCTATTAGGAGACGCTTAAAAAACATGGAATAATTGTGTTATTCTCTCAATTTTGTATTTTGCAACACATTTGCATATAGAAGTGCACACTCATAGTTTTTCTACCACGCATCTGTATTTTTCTTCAGGCCACAGTGCTTGAAAAGAACAGTCAAACTGGAAGCTGTGCCATGAAGATTTACAACTTACACTGGGAAGCTTGCAACAAGATCCAACACAAGACATGTCCTTCAGATCAGGAGCAATCAATGCTTTTTTGCTAGAATGGAATTCCTTACTAGCACATTGCTGTACCTGTTCGTGGGCTAAAACCGCACTCCTGAAGTTGCCCAGAAGATAGTGTGTGTTTCCCAGGTTTCCAAAGGCACGTCCTTGTGCTGCTCTATCACCCAGCTCTGTTACTATTGACAGGTTTTCCCTGTTTCAGGGGAAGGAAGAAGGGGAAGAACGGAGACTTTTAAACAGGGTTTTTTTCCACTCACAGTAATATAAATAATTATTAGGTTTTTTTTAGATCTTCCCATCTGTATAAAGGAAAAGGTCTACATAATTTAGTCTATATTCCACTTTGGCTTATTTTAATGGCCTTTAGGCAACCATAAATCTTTCACTGAGTAGGAAACATTTCCTGTGAGATCCTGCACTTAACTGCATCTTTTCTCAAGCTGGCGTGCTTGCTTCTAATTGCAGAGCTACCTTAGATACAAGTATACCAAGGTCCTATTGTTGACTCAGTCTGGTTTGAGGAATACTGCTGGATTCTAACATAAGGGAAGGACTTACCAGGTAGTAAGAGGTACACTAACAGTAAGGGCATGACAAGAAAATAGTGCACTCCCCAGTTTAAAAGGGAAAAAACTGACAGGTACCAATGTTCTGGAGAGAAGCACGCCACAGTCGGTTCATGACTCCACAATTCTGCCAATATTCTAATGAAGTAGATGATCATATCCCTCTCAATCCCCAACATTTAAAGCTACTACTTACTCATAATAATTTGCAGCTTTTTGTAAAGCATTCTTCACATCATCTGGAAGTTCCCCTGGATCATGAGTCCCAGCACTGGCTACATTCTTCCCTTTAGAGTGATATACATTTCCCAGATTATACAGTGCTCTCGCTTCTCCAACCTAAAACAAAAGGCAGCATTACAATTTTACGCTTCAGTCTTCCATCACAACAACTAATAGTACAACCCACAGATGGGAAAAGAAGTTTGTTAACTAGTTGTCAAAACATGCTCTGTCCATTCCAAACTAGTTCTTAACACCCACCCAGTTGCATCACTTCGTTTTGAGATGCAAGACACACAACAATTCTTGAGGCCAATTAAAATTAAAAATTAAATTAATTGATTTAAAAAAAACAAACTAAAACCAAAACCAAACAAACACCAACCCAAAACAAAAAACCACCACCACAGAACAGGACAATATTTATTAATCTGGATCTATAATCTTCCAGGTGCAAACAACTATCTTACAAGTAACAGATTCTTGCTGTCTTGAAGAAATAATTCAATATGCAGTATTTACTTCCCTCTGAAAGGTGGCACACATTACCAGTACAACAGGGTTCAGTAGTGTGTGTTAGCAGTTTACTTCCTGGTGCCTGAGCAATTCTTACCTTATCATTAAGCTCTCTGGAAATATCCAGATGTCTCTGACAACAAACGATAGCTTCTTCAAAATTCCCAAGTACCTTTAAGGTGTTGCCCAGATTCCCACTAGCTTTAGCTTCACCCAGTAGATCTCCAATTGTTCTAGAATTGCAGAAATAAAGCACCCAGTGATTAATAGTGTACAATTTGACACCAAGATAATCAATGTATAGTAAACAATTAGAAGAAAAAAAAATATTACAACCATGCAAACATGTATGTATTTGATTTTATATCTAAACTGCACTCACATAAACTTGGTTCAGTCTGTGGTTACTGACATTTCGTTTTGTTAGTGCTGTTTGTGCAACAGCTAGTTCATGGCATTGAGCTAGATTCATCTACATATCATTAAAAACTGATTTCTTTTAAGAAGAGAATAAAGATAATTTTTTAATGGTTATGTAAAAGGCAGTCCCAGCATTAGAAAGAGAGGTTTAACTACTGCTGCATTTTACTGGACTATCATAGTCTTACGTTATTTCCAAGACATACTGGTCTCCTAGAAAGATCTGAGGTAATGCCACATTCCTAGATTCTAAATGAGACTCAAGGCAAAAGACTGCCACTGAACCACTCAGACTGTGGTACCTGGGGAATAACACATCAAAACAAGTTCCCCACAAGGTTACAACACTTGAGCAGGTTAAGGCAGGGAGAAGAATAGATATGTGCCTAAATTGAGGTCAAGTGCATTAAGTGCCTCTGTCTTTTATGGATCTATAACCAATCATTAAAAGTCAAGATGCATAAATGACATGTGCAAGTCATAGGGTTTCTATATTTCACAGTATTATATTATGAGGAGTTTTACACAGAGAAACATGACTGAGTTGGGCCTAGTAAACAAGAGAGCCAGGTAGATTGAGTTTTAGAAAAGAGGAAAGGGTGAAGGAAGGGTGGATTTAAAGAAGTCATTTAATTATCCACAAACCTGGCAAGGTCTCAGTCAGTACTAGGATTATGGTGCTACACTGAGCATTAGCTCCAGGTTAAAGGGCAATCAAGCTACCTATCAGAACCCCTGGCACTCTGTTGTCACCACATTCCCATACCAGAGAGTATTAATAGCATAGTTTGGTAGAAAAATTAACAGCTAACTGCTCATCTCTACAAGCACGGGATGACATGGAGAACATGGTTAAAGAAAGACACAAGATTACCTTGCAAGAGTTAAATCATGGTGATGGTATTCCAAAGCCTTTGCATATTCATGCAAGTAGAAATAGGCATTGCCTAACTGGCTGTAAATAGCACTGAGTGTTTTTAAATCTTCAGTTCCAACCTGAACTGCTGCTTCAAAGAAAGACACACCGGCTCGGCAGTCTCCTGCTTTACACAGGCGCTCACCTTCCAAAGCCAGCTCCAGGCAGGAAGCCTCCATCCTGCACAACATAAGCAAAAAGATACACAGTCACTCTAAATGCAGAACTCTGTCCAGTAACCAGAGTTCTGAAAAGGTTATTTTACTCAGGAGGGCGTCCATTTGTCTAGGACAGACTCAGAACCATAGAAGAAGCAATGAGCTTTGTACTGTAGTATTACAGAAACTAATTCTGAAATGGAAAATGCAACTTCAAAGGTGGTGAGCAAACTTAACATTAGAACAAACAGCTTCACCATTATTTTTTTTCTTCTTTCTTTTTAAGTCTCAGGGAGGAAATCCAACCACTGTTTTGTCCATATATAGCACCTGTAGGACTCAAAAAATGCAGAGTTTTCAACATCTAGATAACCTCAGAAAAGTGACCTAGAAAACAAGCTATTATTGGCAAGTACCAGTTTTGACAAACATAAGCTCTTTTTTTTTTTTTTCCAGGCTCAAAGTTATGTGCAAAATGTTCCATGAAAATAAAAAATTAAAAATTAAAAATTAAAAATTCAATTATTCCTGTGTATCAAAGACCATGACTATTTTTCCCAAAGTTGTATCCTATGTAATTCAGTACTCCTTGGCACCTCATCATTTCCTACAGTGGCACTGCTATGAAAATTCTCCGAGTGTAAAGAAATAAGATCTAGACTGAATTAATGACAAAATGTATGTCAAGGCAAGTTACTTCACTGCCATCCTTCAGAACCCAATGGAATACTTTTTATTATTATAAGCAAATAATTGTATAGATACAAAATACAGCAAGCAGTGAAGAAGGGAGTTGTGATTTAATTTATAGAATTTGTAGATTGTATTTTGAACAATAAGCAAAGAAGCTGTTACGGAACTGCAGCTGCCAAAACACATTCATGTGTGGTTTTGCTACTGGGAATTCAGGTGTGCAAAAGGTTAACGTTTCACTAAGCATTAATGATTATATACAAACATTTCCGAATGAAAGGGACGTGAGAGAGAGAAGGATGAGAAAGAAGATGACTTCAGGTCTTCATCTTGAAGCACACTTTCAAGATACATGCATTTTAAAAAGCTCACAAAACTATCATTCTACCTTCACAACATATTTTAAACAAGGAGACTCAGTCAAAGTCTTTCCGTAAGTGTTCAAAAAGTGTGTCTAATACTGCCAAAAAGGTGACATCAACTTTGTAGATCTGTCCATTGTTTTGAATTTTTCTTCTTTTTTTTTTTTTTTTTTTAAGTGGTTTATACAGTATGTGGAAGGGCTTGCACTCCAAACCAGAACATTTGGTGTAGTTAGAGATATCCTTGTTATGCCATGATTTAGTATTTACCCAGATGTAAGAACAAAACATTTAGAATTCTATTCCTAAAACTGTTTCCCTTTGTATGCACAGATCAGTAATAGCAACAATCAAATGCTGACTTTTCTTAAAGTTATTTTAATGGCAACACCAGAAAACAGCTGTTTTGACAAGACAGTGATAGATATTTAACCTACCTGCACCGTTAACATTTGATTATTTTTCTAAGTAGGAAAAAACTAGGTTAGATGACAGTCTACTCAAATCTGAGTAAGAAGGGAATATTTTGGAAATATCCTGTTGCCTTCAAAAGAACTAGAAGATTCTGGATCATAGATAAAACAAGTTACCAACACAAAATTGCACAATACCTGCTGGTCTTCGACATTCCACAACTTAAGCACAACGAGATGGCAGACATATTTAACCTTTGCAACTAAAACCACCTGGTAGCTGTTGAAGATGCAGACAGCAAAGGGTAAGTCAGGCATGAAGTTCTTCCCAGGCCCAACTTCTCAGGTTGGATATCCATAACACACGCAGTATTTTTAGGATCAGAAGCTCTTCTCAGAGAAGTGAAAGCATTCCTGTTTGCTAGAATGCACAACCTGGGTTTTGTTACATTCTGCATGTGTTGAACGTCAGACAGAAAAAGGCAGAAATGATTAAGTACAGTTAAGTACAAGGCAGAAATGATTACACCATCAGCAACTGAAGGTTTAAGACTTAAAACACTTCACTGGGTAATCTTAATCCTATCCAAAGAGGTTCTCTCCGGGCACCTCATGTTAAATGACAAGTCCAATTAAAGCGATGGCTAGAAAATATGGTGCTCCTTAGTGCAAAGATTTAGACCATTACACAATCACATGCATTTCTTCAGATTTTTAGCTTGAACAGCTAAAAAGGGTAGAGTGCAAACCTAGACATAATGGAACTTACAAAAATCAAAGAGTTGAGTTTTTTCAGACAGAACACAAATATCTATGAACGCTTATACTCAGGCTGATGAAAATTATTACAGTATTTAATTCAACCAGAACTACAGGAAGTAAATGAGAACAGGAACTAGGAACTGAGTTCCACTATTTAATACTACTCAAATGCAACTCTAGAAAGCCTGTGTTAATAGGTTGCCAGAATCTGTAAAAGAACTAAAAGCTATGATTCCACTGGATCCATTCTTACTGAACTTCTACAATTTCAAAGTCTAATTAAACTACACAAAAAAAAAAAAAAATGTACAGAACACAAGATATTTATTTCCACAGCTGCCTGTATCCAATATTAGTACAATATTAGTATTTTATTCACATTATGGAAGAGCTGTGAAGCCATTCAGTTGTTTTAAAAGTTTGCAGGCTTATCCATCAAGTACCAAAACCAGACTCAGCAAAAGTTTGGTTTGGGGTTTTTATTCCTCCATTATTTATTAAGTTATTAACACAATTTTTTTTTTCCCAGATTTACTTAGGTGTTCTCCAGCCATAAAACCATCACCTCGTTAGAATGCTTAAACTGTCCCTACTAATAGTTAAACAGCATCCTGGCAGACTAGACAGCACTAGGTTATCAATGTTTTAGGAAGTCATTAAATAGTTACAAGGAGAATATGAAATTACTTGCTCTGTTCCAAGAGCTGCATTGAATTACTTATTTATTCAATACCCAATGGCTAAACAAAAGATACATTGACTCTGCAGAGATGAGAAGAGAACAAGGCCCATTCATCTGTGTACTTGTAATGAAATTCCATTCCTGCTAAACTGGGTAATGTTCTTCCAGATATTATGGTGGAAATACTCACACAGGGCTTTGTTTTGTTATTCTGTTTGTAGTTGCCTGGACCTGTTCATGGAAAGGTTGGCATCTCCTGAATAATTTCTCATTTGTAAAACTACCTCATCCTTATCTGTCCCTCTAAGCTTTTCATCTCGCCTGGCTCCCTTTTCTCTTTTCTTCCCCCCTGCCTACGACACATGTAACATACCTAGAGACTAAACAAAAAATGCTATTATATCTCCCCAACTCAGATGCATAAAATTACAAATGCCACACTAACAAAGATCCTATATTATTCCCAACTCCTGCCCTTAGTCTTGGTTTCTGTACATACTGCAGAAGCACACCACACTGAGCCCCCCAAACACCTTAACTATGCCTCCACTGCAACACTGTCTTTAATCAAACCAGGTTTGATGGCAGACTTCGAAACAAAACAACACACATGCATCACATGCATACACAAAGAAACCACACAGCTGAATTTCTTTTTTTTTTCTCCAGTCAAGATAAAAGCAGTTATAAGCGTATGAATTTAGCAGGCCAAGACAAGCGAGTTCTACAAACAGTTACTCTGTTGATCACCTATTAGCCCCATTTATTAACGTCAGCATTTTCAATCACTAAACAACATAGGAAAACCCAGCTTCCCTCTACCAGCATAAGCATTTTTATGGCTGCTAAAGTGATAGCAGTCAACTACAGTGAGGAGAAATAAACAGCTTGCACAGTATGAAACAGACCCATAATAAAGCCTCTCCTTAGGAGTGGGCCACCAACTTCTTATTAAAGTTAGTTCTATTGGAATACCAGAAAGAAGGAAAAAGCAGTCAAACCCAAAAGAGCCTGGGACACGAACTGTAGGTAAAAAAAATAAATTTAAATGCATAAGTAACACCCCCCTCCCCCCAGTAGTTTATGACCTATTCTTTCCTGCATTAAATTTTAAACTACAACCAAACACAATCTTTCCAAATTATAGCTATTAAATTACATCATCATAAAATTCCAGTTCAATATACTTAATTGATTTGCGGTTCCTCTAAGTTTCAGGAAAGTTTTGTATTTTTTAAAAGATTAAAAGGATTATGCCTCCATATTTTTAAAATAGGCATCCAATCACAGTTCTCAGGGAAAGGTTTAATAAGGCCATTAATGATACTGTTAACCAGTAACATTCAAGCCTGTACTGAAATACAGCACAAAGCAGTAAGATGTTTTACCCTCATTGTGCTTGCCAATTTTTCTGCAGTTATTTTTGGCTTGTCAGCTTAAACCAGAAAATTGGTTGTGCTGCTTTATTCAGCCATTTACTTCTATAATAGTACCCTGAACAGCTCCTGCTTTTACTAAAGAGTGAGCAAGGATCTCCTGTAGTCACCTGGGGAGGACCAAGAGCATCAGCAACAGCGATGATAAACATGTTAGAGGAATGCTAGAAGGTAGATACATTCGAGAAACACTGAGCACAGAAGAAATATCACGTTCACACACTTTGGAATTCCTGCTCTCAAAGCCACCATATAAAGATTTCAGCAAAATAAAGAGAGCAGAGAGTTTAATTGCTCATCACCTTCCTGACCATGAAAAAGCTCCTCCTGCTGACTGCACTGTTAACCAGAACTGTGTTTCTGTGAAACAGAAGACCTGTCTAACAGCAATCTAACACTGTTAAAATGTTTTCAGAATTAATTTTAAGCTGTCACATATACTGTCTTTCAAATAAGGATAGTGCTTAGTTCCTGTTAGCTAGCAAGGACAAGACCTCCAAAGCCAGGATGACCAGGATAGAGGGGAGGACACAACAAGATTCACGCTTTTTACTTGTTCTAAGAACAATCATGCTAGTGTCCCAGTGTCCCTTCCTACTGAACGAGCTGCAAGATTTACCATTCCAAACACCAGCCATCCAAATACCACACACTACACAATGCTTCTGTTGTTCAGGTTCATTAGAGCGAGTCTACAGTGCTAACATGTCCTCCCATGTCAGTAAAGGGTATTCCAGAAGAAAAATGGTAAAAGCTCTCAGAAGAGAAATCACACATCCTCTTGATTTGCAGCAACAGTACTTTTTAGACCAAGATATCCAATCAGTTTCTATCCATCAATCTGATTTCTTTATTTTAAACAAAACACTGCTGTAGGTGATAGCACACCTAAAAATTCATTGTTCACAGAAGCAATAATGAGACAAGTACAGATAACTTGAGCAGACAAAAACTCAACAATTGGCAAACACAGCCCAGAAGCTAAAAGAAGAGAGAGCTGCTATTACCATGCAGGAATCATAACTCATACCACTCCATCAGAAATAGAAAGAAATACAGACAATCATGTTGTTCTGCAACCACACAGTTCCAATACTATACAACCACGCAGTTATACTAATAGAACTGAATTTTCACAGTTCAAAATCCAAGAAAAGCAAAATAAAAAGTTATTCTAGCTTTCAGTTTCAATAACACTAGCAACAGAAACACCAAACTGTTTGTTGCAACTTGTTTAATTTTCTATTATTAACCACACTTACTCATCCATACTAAAATTCATAGTCTTACCTGTATCGAACATGAAAGGAACGATCTTCAGGCATGCTTATCAAAACATTACTTTGCTCCATTGGGTTGCATTATCAGTAGAGAAAATAATACTGTTCTGTAGAGGGTATGTACTTTACTATGGAGAATTGTTGTCAGAACACCATTCCAGTTAGTACATTAAGAAGTTGGAGTCTGCTGAAAAACTCTTCTTTATTAGTAAGGTAAGGAGGTCACTGTCAGACACATCTTAAACCTTCAGAAACGTGTTCGAGTTCTTTCATCTGTGGCCCTTTAAGCTCCATTCAGCTGCGTTTCTGCAAAGGGAACACAAGATGCTTGGCTTGAAGTTTCATAGTCAGTTAATAACTCATAACCATTTGCAGCTGATGTAAAAGCATAACACTACTCCTACCAAGCAGGAAGTGTCAATCAAGAACTTAAAGGCAGAGCCAAAGCCCTTCTACATACATATGTGAACTCCTGTAGGCAAGCAAGAAAGCAAAAGGGGTTTAACAAAAACAACGTACTCTCTTCTGTTGGAAACTTTGAGTAATTTACCCTTGTTAGTATTCTTTGGCCTCCTGACATTCCAAGCAAAAAGTTTAAAGAACAAAAGCTACAGAATGAAAGGCATAATATAAAACAAATTACAAACTGCTTTACACATAAACAGTACTGCTGAAGCCTTGATAGCTAGCTGAACTCCCACAGTAGTCAGAACTGGCTGGCAATACTCATCTGGAGATCACCTATTCTGGAGATCATCCCACTCAGAACATCATGAGCACAGAAACAAGCAGAGGTTTAAGTTCTATTCCCCTTTCCCCGCTCCACTGCCAAAAAAAAAAGGGGAAGGTTTGGGGGTTTTGGGGTTTTTTAGTTTGTTTGGATTTTTTTTATACTGGCTTCACTTTCCAACTTGCTACAGCATTGTCACATGAGCTCCAGAGTCTGCTCCAAAGGGACTGTAGCAGCCAGCATTTAGACATCAGACATGTTTAGGCTGGCAGGGAAGAAATGAACAGAAAAGAAACTCTGTGTTCAAAAGTTTACCCACTTTTAAGGATATTTTTAGTAGAGGAGTTGACATATTTATTGCTCGGTACTAATAGTACCTTCCCTTGCAAGTAAACCTATAGTTGAGTAATTCACAAATGCATATTTCATCCAGAGACTGCAAAGATGTCAAAAGAACAGAGCTCAGATTTAAAGCTGTCACCAGAAGAAAACAACCATCTATTTTTACTTGTCAGTGTAGGCCATGCCTTTTCCTCTCACAAGTTTTATCAAGTACCAGCAGCAAAGACTCATGCTTCCCATCATGCTCTACCCTGACAGCACCCCTCAAACACACTGTCCACATTCTCCCTGTTAAACAACTACTTTGCCCTTCCATGCTCATCATTAGAATTATTTGGCATCAACAAGTGGGTGTGGGTATATTTTTGCAATTATAAAGTGTGACACATGCAGCTTACAATCCCACTGCTCCCACACACTGGGAGGACTGTGTTGAAGGTATTTGCTCTCTGGAAGTTTGTCCGAACCTCAAATCAGATAACTCACACTAGCAGGGAGCTCTGAGCCACCCCATCTACAGCAATCACCCACCAGCACTCCTGCTGCTCAGCAAATGCAAGGGATTCAGATTTCTCTTCCACACGGATACACTCATGCAAATTGCTACATGCCACAAACTTAAAAGTGTGTACTTTGGCAATTGCCATGGATCATGAAACAAATGACTGTGGTAATTTGTGTATTTATCCTGTAACTGCAATTAACTGAATAATTTAAGAAGCTTTTTTTAAAAATAAAAAGCCAAATTTAATACAAAACCCAGTTCTAGGAAAAGTACATCTGAATGCCTGCATTTATTTAAATATCAGTGATTTTTAGCAGGACATTTCACATCAGCTGTTTATAACTTCATTTATCTAAGCTAGGCTTCTGTCCTCATACTTAGCCTCATCCTCTGACTGACACCACCATCTCCCACAAGCTGGAACCACTGCTCCTGCTTTCTTTCCTCCTTGCTGGCCGTATGGCACATTCCTAGTCTCGGGAGGGTGATACAGACACACCCAACTTGGTCAACACATCATGATCACAGATGCAACAAAAATTACTGGGTCTGGTCTTCCTACTTCCCTTCCTTCCCCCATAACTCATTAGGATGTCAAATTATGCCTTCACCCAACAGGTAATCAGTAAGCAAACTTAAAGCATAATTTGAGTGGTGGATTTAAACTCAGAGGTGGAAATCGATGAACACTTCCACAGATAGCATCTCTCAGGTGTAAACTGGCTTTGGGAGGATTACCCTATAGCAAACTAAGCACCCTGCTCTTTCAACTGATGCACAGTAATTATTCAGACTCTCTCTGCAACCAAGCTTTTCCTGAGCTGGTGATCAACATGGAATTGACTCAGAGAACACCGTACTTCAGCAGAAAAACCCAGTGGATGAGCAAAAATCAGGAGTTCTACTCTACTGGCATGCATAACAGTGAAATGGGCTTTCTCCTGAACTGCCATTTTTCATTAAAACTTCATGCAGCATGAAAAAAGCACTTGGTGCTTACTAGGAAAAGAAACTGCACTAATGCAAAGCAGCTGCTTTACATTTATTCTGCCCACACCTCTAAGCAATACAAAATCCATATCCACGTCAAGAAAGCTGCCTTTCAGGAAAGCAAAAAGTAGAAAATTGAAGTTGTATACACAACTTCAAAATGCACAATTTTACTATTCCAGCTGTCAAATGCTGCAATGGTACTAGCTTTAGTGTCATTTCAAAATAGTGGGGGAAAAAAGCACACAGAGAAAACTGGGCATCCTTCAGAAGTGGAAAATGAAACTCTTGTTACTAATTACACAGCAGTATGATACCAAAACCAACACCACCAGCTCCCAAAATCAAATAAAGCAAGGCAGAGGTTAGGCAATCCAATGTGACAGCCAGCTTATACCCCACAATAGACAAATCATGTTCTTTATCAACTCTTTTTTAGGAGAAAATTGTGAGTGATTGCTAGGGCTTATCCACCCTGCCTAGAAACAGCTAAAATATCTTCAATCAAACCATTAGTAAAAAGATAACTTTGACTCAACGCAATGTTTTATCTAAAAGCACCCTGTACTTATCACTCTCAAGAAGTCACTGTTCATTCTTTTCTATGAAATCACAGATTTCTATAGAAGCTTTATTAATAAAGCAGCTTGGGGTTTGCACTGCATGAGGCTTTAAGGCATTTCCTTACTAAATTCTATGACTCTATCTTTAATCTGATTCTCTGAAACTGCATAAAATCTATTAATTTGTAAAAACTTTATAATTAAGTGAAAAATCATGGTAAAATACTAATGTTACCTACTGAAAGGTATCTGGCACAACAGTGCTTTAAGAAGTGAAACCCCATCACGCTTGCACTTTTTCAGCATTTTTCATAAAACCATGATCAGTGTTGTCAGAAAGGGAACCAAGGCCCAATGGCTGATACGCAGAGAAGGTACCTGTCAGCCTTCCCTTAACATAACTGGACTGAATCAGTGACACATATGCTAAGACCTGAATGAATCTCACTCTCACTCAAATTACAGAAGAAACCAAGAGTTCCCCATCTTCAGTTCTGATCAGTGTGTTTCAAGTCTCTGACAGCAATAAAACAAGAGCTGTAATTTCTTTCTCAGAAGCCTGTTATGCAAGCTAATTGTCCTAGATCTTACATCTGCCAGACAAGCATTTCATGTTTTAAGGCATTTCCCATTCAGAAAAGATTTGATTACCTATCATGGATTTTATCACAATGGTAAATCACTTTAATCAGTTTGCAATTCTTAGTTAGGCTGAATGTAGATGCCTTCATTTTAACTTTTGATAAAATACAGTATTTGACACAAGAGAAAATGAATTGGCAAGCCACAGAAAACCGATACTACTCTTTATTAGCAGTAAAACCAAAATGCTGCGGAGGGAGACGATTTTTTTTCTCCCCGCATCTCCTTAAAATAGTATATTTCTGCTGCTTCACTGGTTCCTTCCCCCAACTCATACCTTCCTTTCTGGAGCTTGTCAGATGCTCAGAAATATTGCTTTGTTTACCTACAGTTAGATAGCTGACACATGCTGACTGGTCACTTAGGGGCTAACAAACAAGAGTATCTAACAGCTCATTCTTTCTGCCTATCCCTACAGGAGACAACCAAGTAATGCCTCTCCACCCATCTGCTATTTTGCACAAAGCTATAGGAATGGAGCATCTGCCAAATGAAGTCATCACTGACCGACAGATTCAAAAGCTACTAGAGGAAAATACACACCAAGGTAGACCAACTGCACAAATTGTATTTCCTCAAAAGAAACCAAACAGCTACAGAAATGCACTGTTTCAAGATTAAGACAAATTTCCCAATGGTGAACTAAGTCTGAATTTCTTTTCAGGAAGAGGCTATAGCATGGGCAGAAAAAAAGGAAAAAAAGCAGCTTGAACAGGATTATATAAAAACAAAACAGAGCTTTGCATAGCCCGTGGAGAAAGAGACAGGCTAAAAAGCAACAGAAATACACTAACAGTTCTATTACTGAAATATAGGGATTATATGGTTCCAGATCTTCTAAGTATAAAACAGCATATAAACACAAACAGTACAACCAGAAGCACTCAGAACTAGACAATCCATAATTTTAGTCTTCAATGCTGTCCAAAAAAGGGTTTTTTTTTAAATTTACCATAATTGGAAATCTGGGGTAAACAGCAGCATCACTGGCATTTCTGTAGTCATATATATTTCCCTGTGAACGAACCTTAAGGTAACACTGTGCCATGTTGGGAAAAATGTTTTTTCTAAGCCTTGAGGAGTGTACAAGTGACAAGTCATGAGAGTAGATCATGCAGATGCCAGAAACAGGGCACTAACACCAGTGTAGTTACTTTTGGAAACTTAATTTTAAACTCCTCCCTGCACCACTTTTGACAGAACTTCAACAGCTGATTAGCTGCCAGCACACAGAACCCACCTTCACTGATGAAGTGAATTTGAGGTTTATTCAGGGTCAGTGATGACGTGGAGCAATACCTGCTCTGAAATACTGCCTTGTTCTCCTCGTGGATTTATGTATGGAGCAGACACTCACAGAATAAACCACTTCTTTTAAAGAACTGGCTTAGCAGCATACAATACAAGCAGCACACAAGCATACTTTCCAACATACAATCCAGTGCAGCTCACATCAGACATTAACAGGTTGCATCTAAAGGACAGAACAGGAAATCTGGGGTTTGTAAACAACTACCTCAGACACTCCTCCTAGGTGT